TTGAAACCTCAGGCTCAAGCCGGGTGCTGTGGCTCACGCCTGTAATCCTAGCACTCTGGGAGGCTGAGGCAGGTGGATTGCTTGAGGTCAGGAGTTCGAAACCAGACTGAGCAAGAGCGGGACCCCCGTCTCTCCTATAAATAGAAAGAAATTAATTGGCCAACTAATACATATAGAAAAAATTAGCCAGGCATGGTGGTGCATGCCTGTAGTCCCAGCTACTCGGGAGGCTGAGGCAGGGGGATCCCTGAGCCCAGGAGTTTGAGGTTGCTGTGAGCTAGGGTGACACCACGGCACTCACTCTAGTCTGGGCAACAAAGTGAAACTCTGTCTCAAATAAAATAAAATAAAATAAAATAAATAAAACCTCAGGCCTGGTCAGTGGCATTTTGTTGGTGACGTTTTGCATATCTTTAGGAGGCAGTGAAGGTAATTCAGGGACTCCTTTGGTTTTACAAATTAACATTGCAATGAGGAAAATAGCACATTTAAAAATCTGAGTTTTTTTCCTTAAGCTTTTATGTCCATTTGAAACCTCACAACATAAATAGAACAATCCAATCCCTGGCAAAGGAGAAGTCTTATCTGTTGCATGCAGTTCCATTTATAAACTTAACTCTTTTAAATACACATTTTAAGCTGTATATAGAATTTTAGAGGTTATGAATTTTTTATTTTATCTTTTGTCCTATAAGAGTCCTATAACTCTTCTAAGTAATAAGGCGATTCTTGCAAATGTCAGTGCTTAAACTGTCAAGTACACTGTGTGGCTTTGGTGGGATTGTGTCCCCCCAAATTCACGTGTTGGAAACTTAATCCCCAATGGAATGACAGTGGAGGGTGCGCTCATGAGGGCTCTGCCCTGACCAGTGGGTCTGGTGCCATTATCATGGGAGTGAATTAGTTGTCCCATGAGTGGGTCCCTGATAAAGGAAGGATGTGGCCTCATTCTCTCTCTCCTTTGCTGGCCCCTCTACCATGCAAGCCGCAGCAAGAAGGCTGTCACAGATGCGTCCCCTCGCTCTTGGACCCCCCAGCCTCCAGAATCGTGAGCTAACTAAATCTCTTTTCTTTATAAATTACTTAGTCTGCAGTATTCTATTACAGTAGCAGGAAATGGACCAAGACAGAAAATTGGTACTAAGAAGTGGGGCTGTTGCTATACAAAAGTACCTGAAAATATGGAATTGGCTTGGAACTTGGTAATAAGCTGAGGCTGGAAGAGTCTGGAAGAACAGGCTAGAAAAATCCTGTATTGCAGCGAGTGGAGCAGGAAGGGGTGGGAGCTCAGAACCCCTTGCAACCCCTCAGCAGTCAGGGGTACAGGGCGCTAAAACCACTTGGCGAAAGATGATGAAAGAAACAGTTAGTAATAGAGAGCCATCCACAGAGTCCCGACTGCAAATGGAAAAACTTACCTTTAGATGAAGAAATCTATTTGCCAACACCCTAGCCAAATGATGAAGCTTGCCAACAGTGGTGACTTTTAGAACAGTTTTTAAGGGAGTCAGTGTCATACAAACCAACAAGGGTGGAGGACTGTTCCAGATTCAAACACAATGACAGGACAACCAGTTGAAATTTATTTATTTATTTATTTATTTGAGACAGAGTCTCGCTTTGTTGCCCAGGCTAGAGTGAGTGCCGTGGCCTCAGCCTAGCTCACAGCAACCTCAAACTCTTGGGCTCAAGCGATCCTCCTGCCTCAGCCTCCGGAGTAGCTGGGCTACAGGCATGCGCCACATGCCCGGCTAATTTTTCTATATATATTAGTTGCCAATTAATTTCTTTCTATTTATAGTAGAGACGGGGTCTTGCTCTTGCTCAGGCGGTTTCGAATCCTGACCTCGACAATCCTCCTGCCTCGCCTCAGAGTGCTAGGATTACAGGCGTGAGTCACCACGCGCCAATTTTAATTTTTTTAATTTCAGCACATTTTGGGGGTACAGATATTTAGGTTTCATATATTGCCTTCCCCCTCCTCCACCACAAGTCAGAGCTTCAAGCATGTCCATCCCCCACGGGTGAAATTTATTAACTTCTGTTGGCTACCGATAGGGGTCAGTACTGCTACCGTAGATTCGCTTGGGACTAGGTACATCCCAGAGGGAGTGAAAACGTGTTCATACAAAATACTGGACACAGAATGTTCATAGCAGCGTTATTCACAGGAGCCAAAAGGTAGAAACAGCCCAATGTCCATTGCAGAACACTTTATGTCTGCTCTTGTGGGGTATCAAGTGGGCCTGAGAGTAAAGCTGATATAAAATAGATTAACGAGGCGAGCCCGAGTAGCTGTAATCCAGCACTCCTGGGAGGCTGAGG